GGGATAGAATTGATCAAAATCCTTTCTTAGCAGATGCCTATGTCATAACATCTACCTGCATGCCAAATTTCAGCCCGATCCGTCCAGTGGTTTGGGCTGTGCGTTGATAGATCACTATGTCAGTCAGTCACCTTTGAGTTATATATATATATAGATTGGGTACCGTGTGGCTGTTTGGACTTACCGATCGGATTAAAGTGAAAAAAAATATTAATGCTATATTTTATCCTGTATTGAAACCGGTCTATTCATGCAAGATAATATTATTTACCATACCTGTTACACCCCCCTTCTTGTTCTTCTTATTTATTTATTTCACTGTCATGTTTAATGTCTTGTATGTCCTGTGAGGTGTATGTCAATAAATAATATTATTATTATTATTTTATATTTACAAAGTTCGAGTCGGACTCCAAAGAAGGACGAAGTACCAGAACTAGGTTAGAAAACTATATAAAACCTGCATGGGAGCAATCCAAAGCAAACTACTGTTCAACGTTTTTTATTAGGGGATCACAAAAATAATAGTGGTATTTTGCATCGGTCTCATGGTATCGGGGTGATAAATCACGGGATATAATGCCCGCGTGGGTTTAAGCAACAGGTACTGCCAATTACCGAGATATATTGTTGGTGAGAAACGATTTCCTTCACTTAACGGCTGTTAGGATTTATGAAAACAAATGGAAGCTAGATATATTAGGTACCTCCTACCAAATAATTAAAAAAGAAAATGGCTCTCTAATTTTCAGAATCTTATCTGGTACCTAACATAAGGTACATCAATATCTAGTATTGTTTTTATTTAAAAACTGTGGATTGGAATCGACGATCCGTGGAGTTGGTGAGTCTGGGAAGTGCCTGCCACGGCTATCAGTAATTGCTTTCGACCAACACGCCTTTACTACTGTTGCTACGTCGCTACGAATAGCTACGGAACAATAACTCCACTACGCGACATTCGAAGTGCATTAGGCTAAGTTATTTTAAATTGATATTGCACAACTTTTAACTTTATTATAATGCCATTAAAACGCACTCCACCTCACACTGCTATGCCTGCTACTGTGCTGCCTCATGAGGCAGCTTAGCTGAACCAGAAGCGAACTTAAGCATAGAATTTGAGAACGAATCGTTTTCAGCCCTAAATGTTGCTATGCGTAAAAGAAAACGTGAGCTGCTGGAGAATGATTTCGTGGAAATATTTAAGAATGCAGTCATTTATTTAGTCATTTTATTGGCCATCGAAGAATTTAAAGCGCAAAATGCAGAAATTCGAAGTTCAATTTACTTTATGCTCGAAAAATAATATCAAGCCATGAAGAGAATTTATGTATTGGAAACCGAGCGGAAGACTATTTACAAATATATTCAAAGCTTAGAGGACAGAGTTGAACAGCTTGAACGTAAAAATAGAACTTCTTGTTTTAAACTGAGAAACGTCCCAAAAAAGTAGAAAGCGATACGGGAAGAACTAGTTACTTTTGTCCAGAATCTGGAGGAAACGGTGAGTATCCCTATCCAATCCGGGGACATTCGGGTCTTCCACTGGATTAAAAATAAAACTTCAGAGAGTTCACCTATAGTAGTATATCTTACAAGTGTAGGAAGCTCTACGTAATGGTAAGAGATTTTGCTAAAAACAAAAATTACGGGTTCTGCTGGACCAGTTATGGTAAAATATATTTGAGAGAAAAAAAGGATCTATTTTAGGGTTAAGATAACAAATAAACGTTTATTTTATATTTTATTAACACTTATTAAATTAAGTAACGTAGGTATTTAGAAATAATAATTTATATTAGGTCCTTACATCTGAATTCTTTCGCTTCCGATATTATCGTACAGTATCCACTTTTCATCACAAGTAATGATTCGAATAAAAATACCTTCATTATTGTGTCGGTTGAGCAAAGTAACACAGCAGTCGACTCGTGTTTACAAGTTCGATTCAGTCAATTCATGAGGTACCCATTGTTCAAGTTTTTTACTTCCCCGATTTGCTTCAAGTGGCTTAATACAGTTTTGTCACTTACCCCGAAGCCTGCAACTATCTCTGCAGTACTTTGTGATGGATTCGCTTCCGCAATAGCCTTTAGTTCTTCGATTTGCGGAAAATTGATCGAAAACAATTCATCGAATTACAATTCTTCGAACACAATTCATCGAAAAAACAATTCGTCGAAAAACAATTCTTCGAACGGTAATTCCAAAAAAAAAATGAAAATTTAGCAGGAGGGAGGCTAAAACGAGGTGGGGAAAGGGGAAAAAGTATGAAAAAAAAAACGTTGCACGTACAAAAGTGTCGTTTCTGGCGCTTCGCCGGCCGCTGCCGCGGCACGCTCGCTCCGCTCGCTCGGCTCGCGCGTTTTTGGTCATCATACTAACCTAACCTAACCTAATGAACTCTTTAGACTTTATTCATTGCGGGGGGCTTCGCCCCCCGAGCCCCCCTTGCGGGGGCTGCGCCCCCCCGCCCCACTTCGGTTCTGTCACTAATAATATGAAATATAAAAAGCATGAAATTCTACACATTAATTTATTTTGTATACATGTTTTATGGCATTAATTGTTTCTAAAAACGCGTCTTTTTTATATTTAATTATGTTTCTGCGCCACAAATATTCTACAATCGAATCTGCAAAATCGTGCGGATGGTTATAATTATCTTTTCTGAAATATCTTTTGACAGCCCTCCACTGGGACTCGATCCTCTGCGTGTGAGTACCGTCTGGGGCAATAAATGGGTTGTCTGGATCAGAATGGTTTACTTTTTTGTTTTTCGGGGAATTACCGTTCGAAGAATTGTTGTTCGACGAATTATTTTTTCGATGAATTGTGTTCGAAGAATTGTAATTCGATGAATTGTTTTCGATGATTTTTCCGGTGAGGATTTAATGTTTTCCATTGTGCAGTAAATAAGCGACGCCAAAGATAAAAATAATGAGGAAAAAAACAATTTCAAAACTCAAATGTACCAGCTAAATGAATTTATAAATTTGAATTTGGAATTCTTAACCAAAGAGGAGATATTTCAGATCAAAGTGGTCAGTATGACAAAACGCTAATTTCGGACGGGGTCAAGATTGAATCACTACGTGTTTCAATTTCGATTTTGAAGTCGGATTTATTGAAGTGAAAACTTCTTTAGCGGCGTTGTACCCTTTTTTTGTAAAGGGTAAAAAATGTTAAACTCGCGTCAGGACACTTGACCTGATCGAAAATTCGTAAGACGAATGGAGAGTAGACAGCCGGCACGGCGTAGGAGAGGAAGTATACCCCTCTCTTTCTACGGCGCGGCGAAAATGTATGCCTGCGCCTGCTGTTTCGTTTAGACGGCGCAGGGCGCTTGCGCGAATGTTCGTGTGTGTTTATGTTACAGCGTGCCACGCGCATCCATGGATGGTGATAGCTGACGGCTCGACCGTCTATGTAGTGACCACACTGCTGTATATTCGTAAAATTCGTGTATATAAAGTGTTACTAATAATTAAAGCAATTCGTGCAAAATTATTCCCTAACTATTCCAAAATATCAAAAATGCACAACGTTAATAATATTCGAGTTTTCACTTCTGCCGGCATCGGCATTCCCGGAGTGCAACCCGTCGTTTTTTTTTCCATCAAGTGTGCGAATTTAATAATAACAACAACTACATAAATATGTTTTTAGTCTTGTGTTTTTTCCAGCCCCGCGAAGGTAATAATAACTTGAGTCTATGATTGTTAGATGCATAATTTAAGAGACCGTACTCGAATACGGTAGTTTCACTCTAAAGTGACTAAAAATCAAAGTGTGGATCGCAAAACTCACAACTTAAAGGCACAGATTAAATAGATTATGTCTAAAGACTCGAAAGCTCATACGTAGGACGCGAAGAGTTGATTTTAACTTTTTTTTTGACGAGCTCTGTGGCCGAGTGGTTTGTACGCCGGGTTTCATGGTGTCGCCGACTCGAGAGGTCCTGGGTGCAAAGCTCGATGGGGGCAGATGTTTGTGTGATGACGAGCATTTGTACTCCAGTCATGGATGTTTAATATGTATTTTCTATATAAATATACCTATATATGTACAGTATATGTATTCTATCCGTTACCCTAGTATCCCATAACACAAGACCTATAGTGCTTACTTTGGGGCTAGGCTAATTGGTGTGAGTGTTGGTAATATTATTATTATTATTATAACTTCCTTTAGAGTAAAACTAGCTAGTAATACTACATATATATGTGAGTACAGATCATAACAGATAATGCCAAAGTAACAATTTGCCGGCACTCAGCTCTCAGCTACACAGCTCGTTAAACGTTTTGATCTTTATGAGAACCCATTGCAGTTTACTGAAACACGGGCGGAGCGCATCTGTTGCACGAGCCAGGAGTACCACAATGCGAGCAACTTCAGTGCTCTCTATTGAACATTCGAAACTTTAAGCAGCTGTAAAAGAACAAACTTTCTGAGAATAATAACTTTAAGCATACAATCAAAATCGGCATCAAAATTGTTAAATATATTTAAATAAGTTTACAATTACGGTTAATTATATTTATGTCGCTACATTATAGCTATTAACGGGATTGGTACCATGTACCTTGTTTTTTGTGAATCTCCGATAAAACAAGGTACATGGTAACAATCCCGTTAATAGCTATAATGTTAGTGACCAAGAAAGTTTAAAACAATATATTAGTTCTAAGACTGACATTCCACAAAGTCTACCAATTTAAGTTACTATCAAGGAACTTTTTATCGATTTTGACTTTAATTAAAAAGGTAATCATACCTACCTACCTACCGCCTTAAAATTAAAAACATGATATAAATAACACAATGTAAAATCCACCAGAAAACTCAAAACTAATAAATGAAATAAAAAAATGATAATGTTTTGTAATGAAATTTTAACTCTTTTGAGTAGTTAAGTAGGAATAACCATAAACATTACATCTGTGTAGTGCAAGCCAGGTGGGGCGCTAGTAGAAAAATAATTAAACTTAAAAACATATTAAACAGTTTTTTTATTAGAAAGGTCTTTTACAATTTTTGTACAATCCAATCTGTATCAGAGGCTAGACTACATTAGCGACAGCTGGTATGATCGCCTCGTATATCTGTATGCCTCGTAAGAAGGTGGCTGCCGGTAGGTGTTCATTGTGTTCGTGCAGACCCGGCGTTATGCCTACCATTGGGGAGAAGCCCAGCGCTGGGATGCCCGACTCGCGGACATAGCGGCTGTCGGTGCCACCCGGGAACGTGCGCACTTGCAGCGGGATGTTGCTGGAAGATAAATATCATCATTATCATCACCAGAACCCATTACTATCCCCCCTACTTAGGCACCGGTCTTACTTATTGATAGGGAATATTGGTCAGTACTAACGACTGCAGATTCCGCCGGGATCAACGGCTTAACGTGCCTTCCGAAGCGTGACGGAGTTTGAAATAAAATCTTTTAGGTTACCAATCCAATGAGTCGTTGGTACTGACTCGCGTGGTTATTCCTGAACTAATCTCCCTACCTATTTCATTCATAGAGCAGGCTTGTGACACAGCAGTAAATAATAAATAAATAAATAAATATTTCCAACACTCACACCAATTAGCCTAGCCCCAAAGTAAGCACTATAAGGCTTGTGTTATGGGATACTAGGGTAACGGATAGAATACAAATTCTTTACTTATATAAGTATATTTATATAGAAATACATAAATATTAAACATCCATGACTGGAGTACAAATGCTCGTGTTCATCACACAAACATCTGCCCCCACCGGGATTCGAACCCGGGGACCTCTCGAGTCGGCGACGCCATGAAACCCGGCGTACAAACCACTCGGCCACGGAGGTCGGCAGTGAATACTAATAGGCTGTATAATAAATAGTACAGTAATAGACAATAGTTTCTGTAGTGAGTAAGTAATAAAGAAACTGTTGTGAGACTAAACATTACTCACTCGGGGGTAGACTTCAGTTCGGTCTGGGTAACCGCTCTTATGTTACGAGGGGATTCATGACTTAGAGTTGTTCCACAGCTAGCTTGAAGGCGAGCCAGTATGGGTTGGAGTCGTCCGCAGCTGTGGCGGCCACTCCAGCGTCCTACTGTTCGAAATCGTACCTCACGCCGTCCCCTGCTTTCTTGCACCACTGCTTCAGCTATGTTATGTAAACCAATCATGTCCATGGTAGTAGCACACGCAGGGCATTTGCTAGTGATTCACGACTTACAGTTCTTCTGCAGCTTGCTTGAAGGCGAGCCAGTATGGGTTGGAGTCGTCCGCAGCTGTGGCGGCCACCTCAGGGTCCTTCTGTTCGAACTCGTACCTTACCCCCTCTCCTGCTTCCTTGCACCACTGCTTTACCTAAATAACGAAAACCAATGTGATATTCGTGTTTGTAATTTTTTAAATACTTTGTTACAAAGCTTTTCTCAAGAAATCCTCACAAAATTGATGTTTACAAACATCACAATCACAACACAACGTTCATGAAATTGTTAAGCCTACTTTGCTGCAATAGTTTCCTTTTAACTTCGTTATACATAATTAAGTGGGTACTACTACTGTGATTTTATTTGCATATTTTTATATATATCCAAAAACATACCAAAAAGATATGCAGTCGAATTGAACACCTCTTCCTTTTTGAAGTCGGTTGAAAACATTCATTCAGTTATATTTCGCATAATTCTATTTTTTGCAATATAATCGGTTTCACCTATTTTTAATAGGCTGAAAACCGACTAAAATGTAGATCTTTTTATCGTCTACCCCAAGAATTATCAAGAAAAGATTCACATGAAGGAAAATTGTGATAATCCATTAGTTGGCACTGGATATTTCTGAAATCGGGGTGACATTTTTCAGTGTCACAATCTAAACACATTATCAGTAAATTGCACCGTGTGGAGTTACGATTTTAAGTCTGAAATACCGAGGAAACATTTTCAAGAAGTATAGTGGTATTTGTTTCTTAGATTTCACACACATCACTCATAAAATAAAACAGTTTTTAACGGGTTATATGCACTGAATTTTGTATAGTGTGTATTAAATTGCTATAATTTATGTTTTAAATTAGCTTTCATAAAATCATAAAGAGTGTTCATGAGATAGGCTTTAAATATTACCTGAAAAATAGGTCATTTCATAAAATATATAGGCTATTTGGTCAGTCGGGCGCCCCGCTCGGCTGCTTCGGGGGTGGCAGCTAAATTCTAAAATATTTTCTCCTGGTTATCATAGCCCCTCGATGTGCTTTTAATATACCCTTTTTACTAAACTCGTATGGAAAAATATAATCGAGGATAAACTATCTAATTTTTGCGACACTTCAATTTAAATTTCATTAGTACCCACTTTTCGAAATTTCATTACTTTATTGATTGCAAAGATTTATCTTTACGTTGCTAAACTTTTATTTAATAATACAATTATGAGTAATTTTAAATAACATTAGAATCTAAACGAGAAACAAAACATTTAGTTTTGTTATTTCAATCGTTTTGCAATACCATTCTACAGATCAGGATTCTATGCTTAATGGCAAATATCAATAAATATTTTTGTAAATATCTTCCGGCAATGTGACGTATTGTGAATATTTCTTTCATTGATAATATAATAGGCATCTTTTTTGTCAATGTCAATCGTGTCCACCCACGTGACCTTTATGTACTTACATTGAAAAGGATCGTAGGGCGAAATTGCGTGGGTTTGGAGATAATATTATAGACTAGTGAGTGCCCACGAATTCGTCTGCGTGAAAAGATGGGTTTCCCAATCAAACTCCCACCGACACCTTTAAGGATGATTTCTAAGGTAAACTCTTAATACGATATTCTTCCCCGGGACTCAAACTAAATTTGTACAAAATTTCATCTATTTCGGATAGCGGTTTAAGCGTGAAGAGATAACATACAGACAGACACATTTTATATTTAGTATTTATAATGTTACTAGCGGGCGAACGCAACTTTGTCTGTGTTAACTTGTATTTTTTCAATCCAACAGAAACCTTTAATTTTCTGGGATAAAAAGTATACTTTGTATTGAGACAAAGTATACTTTTTATCCTGGAAAATTAAAGGTCATAAACAACATGCGTACCGAAGTCATGCAAATCTGTTCAGTAGTTTTTACGTGATTGAGTAACAAACATAAAAAGTTTCACATTTATAATATTAATAGAAAGATAGGAATAATGAGAAAAGTATATAAATATGGATTAGTATGGATGGAGATTTGACTGGCTGACCCGCAGACTTAAAATAAGCACAAACTCATTAATGCACAAGTAAATAAATAAATATTTCCAACACTCACACCAATTAGCCCCAAAGTAAGCACTATAAGTCTTGTGTTATGGGATACTAGGGTAACGGATAGAATACATATACTTTACTTATATAAGTATATTTATTTAAATAGTAATACATATTAAAACATCCGTGACTGGAGTACAAATTGCTCGTGTTCATCACACAAACATCTGCCCCCACCGGGATTCGAACCCGGGACTAGGCTTGTTAAAAATATATCGATATATCGATATTTTTTGTTCGATATATCGATATTTTTAGCCGATATATTTTGATTCGATATATCGATACATCAATACAAAATAACCAATATCGAAATTCGTATCAAAAACGATATTTTTTTAATTATTAGCGGCATATCACGACCTAACTAAATTCGTATCTGGAAAAATCATAACTGGATCTCAGATTAATGATATTCAACATATCTATGATCTGTGCTGTAATTAGTATTGTCTATGATTTGTAAATCTGTTTCGCTGGTGAATTGGTTATGCTGAATTCCATTATATTCTGTGGAAGTGTGTGACTGTCTAGGCTTTGTTTACGAAAGATGGCACCTGAGAGGCCCTGCAATCATTTTCATCATTCGAAAATAGGCTCTATTTTTAGGGAGATAATTTTCGTTCCATTATTATTCCGCGTGTCATCTTTCGTGAGATACTGTACTGCCATGTAGTGTAGCGGCAATTTGGTACTTTGATAATTCTTTCTTTAATTATAATTTGTATGTGCTAGGCTGACCAAAATATATTTTTGGGAAAATTGCTCCGATATATCGATGTTTTTTTCGCAATATATCGAAGCCGATATTGATATTATTTTAAATATCGATGTATCGATATATCGATATTTTTTCAACTTTCGACATCCCTACCCGGGACCTCCCTAGTCGGCGACGCCATGAAACCCGGCGTACAAACCACTCGGCCGTGGAGGGTGTAAGTAAATACGAGCATTTGTACTCCAGTCATGGATGTTTAATATGTATTTCTATATAAATATACTTATATATGTACAATATATGTATTCTATCCGTTACCCTAGTATCCCATAACACAAGCCTTACAGTGCTTACTTTGGGGCTAGGCTAATTGGTGTGAGTGTTGGTAATATTTATTTATATTTATTTATTTATCTTCTTACTTTTTCTTCTAGTTCTTGTTGACTGTCCGTCAGCGCTATGCGAATGTCAAAACTGACTGTCAACTCCTCTGGAACGACGTTATTCTGGATGCCACCCTGTATATTTAATATTTAACATGTCAATTAAAGTTGAAAGTTGTGGTAAATGTTAATGGAACTAATTCAAACATTTTTTTTAACATAGAACTTATAACTTAAACTAATCTTTATATAGAACATGACTAGGATAAATTGCTGGCATATCAGGTGTACTTAAAATTCTTACATACCAAAAAGTATAAGTAAAAAAAAAAAACTATTAACTACGGGTTTCTATTTCAATATATGTTCGTCCAGATTTCCGTTTCAAAAGAACAGGATTGGATTTTTTTAATATAATAAATAACTTCTCTTAGCACGAACCAATATCGAATTCGAATAGTTTGAGAGTGCAAAATGTCATTGTCAACTGTGTACTAATTTTTAGTTCTAGTTATGTCCGTTATGGCGCTGCTGTTCAAGTTACCATACAAAATTTGACAATGACATTATTTTCGTGCATGCGTACGTTACGAATTTTGTTTGTTTGTTTGTTTTTACTAAATTTACGGAAATAAATCAAAGCAAATTTATTTCTTATACTTCATGAAAAAAACCGGTCAAGTGCGTGTCATACCACGTGCAGTGTAGGGTTCCGTAGTTGCTCTTCTATGTCACTATTAATGTTTTCTTCTAAGGTATTTTCAATAGGTATGAATTTTTCTCCAACCAAAGTTGAGCGATTATTACTCATGAACTAATAAATATATCTTAACCGTTATAAAGTTATACATTAGTTCATGAAAATCACTATTAACATGAATTTTTCCAGTTTTTCAAGCCAATAGTTTAGCTTTTAGAGGAGGAAAAATTAACACTTTAAAGTTCAATATTTCGCAAACGGATGCCCCACACGATAGGGTAGATGATGAAAAAAAAACATCAAAATCTTACATGTTGGGAAGCTACCCTAAAATAATATATTTTTCATAATTTTATTCTACCATTTTGTCGACGTGATTGACATACATATTATCTCCACAAAATTGCAGCTCTATACTGCTAACAATCTACGAGCAAGACCGGGGACGGACAGACAGACAAGGCGATAACGGTTTTTGGTCAGGTATACGGAACTCTAAAAAACAAAGGAAAAGAAACACAACGTATTAAAAAAACGATTTAAACATCTACCAGTTAAACGCTTGAAATAACAATCATAAACTATTGAAAATTTTCAATTAGACAAGCACAGAAAGAAAGAAGCGACCTCATATTAGGCAAACCTTTCCACGGATTTTGATCAAAGCAATAAACTCCTGGAAACGTTATTTCCGGAAGGCAATTGTCATAATTCGACTTTTACGATTACTCATGAAAAGCAAATGAAGCTACAAACCGGATCCAATCATAAATCTTGCTATGACAGCAATCTATTTACAAATTCAATCAGTAATTTTCACTTTTTTACGTGAGAAATTGCGTGTAAATTTTCCATTCATTTGTTTACAAAAGAAGACCGCGGTTAGTTTAGAACTTTATTAAATTTTAGAATTCGATTTAGGAATCCGTTTGCGAAATATTGAACACTTTAAAGTGTTAATTTTTGTTAGAGTAGGACGTCCCCCCCCCCCCCTCTAAAATCTAAACTATCGGCTTGAAAATCCTGGAATCATGATAATAGTGCTTTTCGTGAAATTTCAAGGAAAAGTATAACGGTTGAGATAGATTTATAAGTTTCACAGTAATAGTCGTTCTACTTTGGTTAATGAAAAATTCTTTCCTATTGATAATTCCTTAGAAGAAAACATTTATATTAGGTAAACCAATTGGATTCCTGGAACTTCACATTTTTCTGTGAAAAGAATGTTATTAAACTATTATGTGTGCTTTTCAGTTAAATCAGTGCGGCCGTTCTTGCGGATTGGGCAACAAACACTTAAAATATCACATATGAAATATAAAACATATTCAAATGTGTATCATTCGGATAACATAGGATTATAAGTATTTTTGTAGTCTTTTGATTTTCAAAAATTCTACTATTGACTTAAATTTTAAACTATGGTAATGTTTCACATCATCATCAGTCTATTAATGTCCCCACTGCTGGGGCACAGGCCTTCCCTATGGATGGAAGAGGGAGTTTGGGCCATAACCCACCTCGCGGACCCAGTGCGGATTGGTGGGTGCTAACAACTGCAGATGCAGCCGGGACCAACGTGCCTTCCGAAGCACGAAGGAGCTCGAGATAGTACATTTTTGGTCACCCATCCAATGACCGACAACTGCGAAAGATGCTCAACTTCAACGATCGCAGCCGAACGCGCTTACCACTTGCGCCATAGAAGTCCTCATCGCCATCAAGTGTTTCACATATTAATTATAATTCAAATGTGTTAGTATTACTCACACTAGTATAGTATATATTATATATACAGGGCGTCCCACGGCTACCTCACACGGAGGGAAAGTATATTAAATATTGAAGATAGGATATTTTACTAAAAGAAGACATCATTTTATTTTTAATAATAACTAGAACTGCATTCACAGATTTTTTTTAAATCGCCTGCTACAACTGGGAATCAAACTCGTGAAAGTTCGAAAAAAAACACGACATATTTTTGATTGAATGGGTAAATCATGTATTCAATAATTTGAAAGTGGACCATATAAATTTTCAAACCTGTGTTCTTTTGTTTTTCGTGAGTTTCATTTTCGTTTATTTGCAATTTTTTTTGTTAATTTACTTACCATGGCGCATCAAAATAAAATAGATTTAATGTAAGCTTACTTTATGAACCACAAATACATATCATTAGCTTAGCGGTGGTACCGCAAAAGATATCCTGATAGAGACAAACCTTCTCGATATGTGTTTAAATAATGAAAGAAAGATAGAGAAAGATTTTAATAAGCCATGGTAAGTAAATTAGCAAAAAATTGCAAATAAATGAAAATGAAACTCACAAAAAAGAAAAGAACAGACACTTGAAAATTTATGTGTTCCATTTTCGAATTATTATTATTACTTACAAATTTTTGCCAGTCGAATTGTAACTGTGAGTTCAAAAAGAATTGCATACGTACTACAGTTTGTATATCACTTTATTATTTTTATCACGTAATTCACATTCCTTTCATTTAAAATGCTATGTTATTTAGCAAAAATTAATCCTTATGATTAACCCTTTTGATGGTTATCATAAAATATGCCGTTTTAATTTTTTGCGAAATTTCACGAGTTTGATTCCCAGTTGAAGCAGGCGATTTTTAAAAAATCTGTGAATGCAGTTCTAGTTATTATTAAAAATAAAATGATCTCTTCTTTCAGTAAAATGTCCTATCTTCAATATTTAATATACTTTCCCTCCGTGTGAGGTAGCCGTGGGACGCCCTGTATACAGGGTGAAATTGAATGTTTCAATGAAACTTCGTGGGATTATTGGGTTACGTATATAGAGTATCTCTGAATTTTTTCGGATTTTTTAAAAATGATTTAAAATAAAATTTCGTTTTTTTTTTGTTATATTTTAATCTCCTTTTGGGTACTAAATAATTATTCTTTTTAAACACTCATACAGAGTAAGTAAAAAACAACTAATTAGCACTACTAAAAAAACGTAAAAACAGAAGACGAGCGGTCGGGAGCAATGACCGCTCCCGCCGTTGAATCGGTTGAATACCTACCTATGCGCGGTGCAAAGCGCAGTGAGCGAGCGCAGTGTCAAGTTTATCCACCGCGCGTGCGTATCTTTTAAATTTCGGACAAGAGAAGATTTGCAAATAATGCTATGATTAGTTCTTGTTCTGTGGCCTCAATATAAGAAGTTGGATATGGTGTGTTGTTATTGTAGTGTCACGGTATACTCAGCAGAGCCACAAGGCTTTACGAAAGTAGGTTTGGTGATTGATTGTGTTTACAAAGTGTATACGGGAAGTTTAAGTGAAAAAAATGAATAGGTACATCGGTCTCGTAAGTACTTTTGAATACCGGGTTATAAATTTCACCCAAGTATTGAACTGCAATAAGTATTTCTTTTTGTTTAACATTTGCCTATTTCTAATCGTGACAAAATTATTATTAACTTTTAAAGTTTTTCTCCGCTTAAGAGAAGATGAAATTTGTGCTTATTATTTCAATAAAGGCATCTAAGACGACTTTATTGTATTGTGTGGAATCAAAGGAGTCAACTGAACTCTGTGTAGAGGTACGTACTCACTCAACGGCTGGCGGGCGCGGTCGGTCGTTGACCCGCCGTGGAATTTTAATGTTTTTCCATTTTTTTGAAGTACTTATTTATTAGTTATTTTTCACTGGATATGTAAGTTTGTTTAAAATGAATAACTACTCAAAAGGAGGAAATGACATAAAAATACACAAATTATAAATAAAAACATGAAAAAAAATACTTCGAAAAAATCCGAAAAAAATCAGGCATACTCTTTTCACGTAACCCAACAATCTCACGAAGTTTCATTAAAACATTCAATTTCACCCTATATATATAATAGTATTGCATCCATCATTAGCTCTTTCCTGACTATTTCTTTTATATATTAATCAAAACAATTTATTGTGAGCGAACTTCACGTACCAATTATATTGGTAATTTAGTTGTTATAAAACTTAAGTTAAAGTAAAGAAAAGTGTCACTAACACTGAGCATGGTAAGGTTGATGGTAGTGACGTCACCGATGCTCAGCGAAGAATTGCTCTCCAATTTCTTTTTAGAAGCTGCTCGCATGTCCATAAACTTGTCTATGATGTATCGAATCTGTAACAATATAAGAAATTAGCACGAAAAACTTTACAGGCAGAACTTAATATAAATTATTTATGTAAAAAACACATTATTCAAAGTACCTTTTAAATAAATGAAATTATGGAAACACAGAAAAACATATTTTTAAGTTAAAAATAAATGAAAATAAAAAGTCAATGTCAGAAGTGGGATTCGAACCCACGCCCACAGAAGTGGACTGCGACCTGAACGCAGCGCCTTAGACCGCTCGGCCATCCTGACTTAGTTGCCACGGTCGAAAATACGAATCCCGATAGACTGTACCATTGCTACTACGGTTAATACTGTAGTTCGCAAAATATAATATAAGAAGCTCTATAGAAGAATAATATAATATGAGGAGCTCGATGGCGCAAGTGGTTAACGCTTTCGGCTGCGATCGTTGAACTTAAGCAACTTTCGCAGTGGTCGGTCATTGGATGGGTGACCAAAAATCACTATCTCGAGCTCCTCCGTGCTTCGGAAGGCACGTTAAGCCGTTGGTCCCGGCTGCATCTGCAGTCGTTAGCACCCACCAATCCGCACTGGGCCCGCGTGGTGGGTCATGGCCCAAATCTCCCTATTCCATCCATAGGGAAGGCCTGTGCCCCAGCAGTGGGGACATTAATAGGCTGATGATGATGATGATGAATATAAGAAGCAGAGCATTTAACGTGCCATAGAGAAAACGTTATATTGATTTTTTAATATATTATTTGAGGATAAAAAAATCGTTCATATTATTTTTGTACTTTCTCTTTGATAAAGTAAAATATCAGTTATCTTCTTAAAAAATAATATTTTCTATAAGCAGTGAAGTACTGAAAAGCTAATTACTTACAACCTCTGCTTTTGAATCTGAATAAGTTGGTTAATAATATTGATATTATTTAACCACTTATTCAGATTCACATTCGGATTAACATAATAATATTTCAAGTTCAAGTACCTACCTATCATGAACATGCACTCGCAGTTTGTAATGAATATAATTTACCGGCTACATCCGATTAAGTTTGCTTTACAGCATTAGTGGCCTCCGTACGTACCGTACCGGTCGCTGCTGGCTTACAGCCAATCTTGGTGTCCGTAGTCATTTAATTTATCAAAATGCAGTTGTATGCGCGCACCGTGACGCTCCTAACACGTGGTTACTACGTACTGTGGAATAATTTCTACTTATAAAAACACAAGCTTTTGCCCGCGGTTTCGCTCGCGTTAGATTTGATTTTGAGTGAATGATTGAATATCAAACACAGTATATTGTTTTTTTTTTTCATTTTACCCCTTATTGGGTTGTTTTTCGAAAAATCCTGAAATTGGTGCTCCATACCAACTATGAAACCCCGTTTTAGCTTTTAGGAGCTGAGTATTAAGAAATCCTTTCTGAACGCACATTTACATTATAATTAGTAGATTATTAACCAAGGGGATAGAGCAGTGTCTTCTGTCGCAGGTGACGATTTAATTCGCGAGCGTAACGAAGGACTAGAAGTTTACTCCCGAGCGTAGCGAGGGTGTTAAAAACTTAAATCACGAGCGAAGCGAGGGATTTAAGACGAGTCCTGAGTGTAGCGATGGATATAAGTTCACCCAAGACTAAGACAGCTTTATCACCGAGGAAAATACTCTACTTTTCGTACCATTTGCGAAAAAAAATATACAATAATAATATGAGATAAGCATTTATTAAAAATAATGACAGTTAAAAGTAAAAGGTAACATTTGAAACATTGGTCCAATTATTGATAGAGAGAGTTACATTTTTGTTTGGTACATTTATTGTTGATGAGTTGATTTGAGTATTTCTCTGATCTTGCGTCTGAGGAACTTGCGTTTCATTGTAGTATACGTCGGAGATAGTGGAGGTGGTGCATCGTGAGTTACGGACGAAGATAAGATGCCGGAAGTTGATGGTTGTGGCTCTGATGGATTAAGTTTTATATTTTTGTTAATTTGACTGCTTAATATGGTTTTATTCGCCATTGAGCTTTCAATATAACCCTCAGCTACTCTATCAGAGCTCCAGCCACCGTGTCTTTTTATTGACGTAATATCCGCCCCTGAATCCGCCAAGAAAGTCGCCGAAGTTCTTCTAAAGCAGTGACCGGTGTAGTGTTCAACATCTTTAAGTTTTAAATATTTAGCAATTTCCTTTGGCATATTGCTAATTGTATTTTTGCCGATGGCTTGTCGAGTACATTTCCCATTCCGATAGTTTGTAAAAAATCTATTGTTTTCCATGTTGGTGGGACGTAATGTTTGGTATTTATGAATGATTTTAATATATGTACAATGAATGACCGATTTTTCTTTGTCTTAGTTTCCTTTACATTAATCAGCAGTAACTCATTGGAATGATTTTCAACGTCCTCCATCTTTACGTTTACAATTTCACATCCGCGGCAAGCACCATTGAGTCCAAAAACTAAGGCCACCTATAACAAAGATAAAAAACAGGTAAATATATAAAATAATTATCATTACTAAGATACGAAATATTCATAGTTAAATCATGTATACTTACTTTTGTGGCCAGAAAAATTTCGTCAGGAGCTTCAATAAGAATTTTTTCCACATTTTGAGTCGTAAAAATTTTAGACTTCTCTGCGCAATGCCCTTCTGATTTTCTTTTTAAAAAAGCCGGTAATTTCGTGCTTATTGTAGCTTTCAGTTTTGAGTATATGCACCAAAGTGTATTCGGAGTCTTTGTCTTGGATAAATAATCAAAATAGTCAAGAAGTACTGATTCTGAAATAGATAGGCCTTTAGCACTTCTCCACGTTGAAAATTCTTTATAAGTTTTTAAATAATTTTCCTTGGATTTTGTTGGAAGCAAATTATTTATAATTGCGGCAGCATTTGCATTGATGGAATCCGACAATTCACTGTCACTGTCGCTTTCATTCAACTTCGTAACGTATTTTTAGAACATTAACTTAGTTATAAAAAAAAACTTAACGTTTATGTATTTGAAGAAAACAAAAACGCGGCAAATTCTTAGACTAATATTTTTTGTCGGAAAAGCACAGGCATCAAGCTCATACGGCCTCGTCGGTTTTCGTAATTTTATTTAATAATCATAACTGCACAATAAATGCGTATTCCTTTTTCAAAAAGATGTATAACGCTTTATATATGTTACCGGCCAAACCCGATTTCAGGACAATCTAGTTTTGCCTAGGCTAAACTGGTTCTTCCTATACGCGATAGGATTAACTAGTATAGCCTAGTCCAAACTAATTTATCCTAAGCGCGACAGGATAAACCAGTTTAGCCTAGGCCAAACTAGATGATCCTGATATAAATACGCACACTCTAGGATAAACTAGTACGACCTAGTCTAAACCAATTTAGCAAAGCGGAAAGTAATTGAACAGACATGTCAGGACTTGTACAGGGCGCGTCATGTAAAAAGAACGCTGGAAGAAAGTGGAGGGAGTGTTTTTTCTGTAATTGGTTTTTGTTTAACTCTTTTGTTGTTGCCGGGAGTTCGGAAGACAGTAAAGCCGGGTACGCATTAGCGATCTGTTACCGTAACATGCGTGATACAGTACGAAGTTCTAGTGTGTACGCTAGTAGCTCAGTTGTGAACGTTGGCTCGCTTCAAACCGCACGCGTACCGTTCTCGCAGCAGGTTATCGAACCACGTACACACTATGCTTTTTGGTTACAGTGCGTGCAACGGTTATGGTTACAGCTCGCCAATGAGTAACTACCCGGCTTAAGAAATTCCGAATCATTCGAACCTTTTACAATTCATCTCACTGTAAACTCAAAATATTTTAAGAAAAGTTTACTAGAAAAAAAAACCACGCGGACCAGGCAGCGGACCGGACTCGAACCCGCACCCTTCGCAATCCGGGCGAATGCACTGACCATTATGCTACCACGGCCCTATTCGCCGCGTCGAAATTTTCCTAGCCTTAAGCTGCAAGGCAGCGCCATCTCTTCGCATTGTAGGTTGCAACCACGCAACCCACAATGTCAAATGAATACTTTTTCAAGTATTAAACATTTGAAAGAAGAAATAGCAATTATAGTTATTGTTTTTATTTATTTTTAAGCATTTAACTGCTAGGTGTTTAAATCTAAAGAAAAGTTTACTAGAAAAATTAAACTTTTCTTACTTTTCTTTGTATTACTAATTATCCATAACTTGTAACGATGAATCATTATGGTTTTAATAAAAAATATTATTTTTCCAATTACGGATTATTTTATTCAGTTTATCTATTTATTTTGACTTTCTAGATATACTATAATGTTTACACTAGGCCATACTAGTTTATCCTAGAGTATGCGTATTTTTATCAGGATCAACTAGTTTGGCCTAGGCTATACTAGTTAATCCTATCGCGCATAGGAAGAACCAGTTTAGCCTAGGCAAAACTAGTTTGTCCTGAAATCGGGTTTGGCCGGTAACATATACAAACACAATGGTGTAAACACAGAGGTAGTTCAGTATAAATTTCGGTAAGTATTCCAAATTTAAATCATATTCTCCCCCTAGGGCAGGGGTCGGTAAGTAGTTTTAGGTGGGGTCCGGATACTGTGGGAAAATTTTAACGAGGTTCAGAAAAAAACAACTGATAATAATTAAGTCTTATTTATTATTTTGGGTTAAAATCAAATTCTGGATTACAAAATACAAGACCTAAAATTAATGTGAGTTCCTCACACCGACAATCTTGAGCCAGTTTTTTATACTGTGGTTCTCGAGAGGAACAGCAAATTCGAAGTGTGTCTTCTAGGTGGGCGTCCGTTAATCTCGAACGATATTTGTTTTTCAAAAAATTAATCTTCGAGAAAGATGTTTCACATACGTATGTCGAGCCAAACATAGTGGTCAAATTGATGGCTAGTTTCTTGCAATTTTCATACTTTTCTGGAACATGTTTGGCCCAAAATTCTTCAGTGGATACAGTTTTATACATTTGCAAAGACACATCTTCTTGCAAATCGATTATCTCCATTTGAAGTGAAGGCTTCGA